CCCCCACAAGTAATGGAAGTCACTGCTCCCCACCATATACTCCGCCGCCTCGCCGTCTTCCTCCTCACACTCATCACCACTCCACCTAATCGCCGTCTTAGCCTCGTCTCCCTCAAAGATCTCCACCTCTCCTTCCTCTTCCGCCTCTGTGGTCTCTCTACCAGAAAACTCACCATCTCCTCCGACGGAGGAAACCCCGATACATTTCTTCATATCTGGATCCCTCGAAGCCGGCGACCGCAAAAACCAGCCCTCCTCCTCATCCACGGATTCGGCGGCAACTCCAAGTGGCAGTTTCACAAACAGATCGGTCCGCTCTCCCGTTCATTCGACCTTTACATCCCCGATCTGGTTTTCTTCGGCCGATCGATCTCCACAAGCGCTGAGCGGTCGGTGGGGTTCCAATCGCGATGTGTGGTATCGGCGATGAGGGGTTTAGGGGTGGAGAAGTACTCCGTGGCCGGGATCAGTTACGGAGGTTTTGTTGCCTTTAGGGCTGCGATCGAGGCGGAGGAGGTGGAGAGGTTGGTGATCCTGACGTCTGGGATCTGCGCGACGGCAGAAGAGATGAGGGAGATGGCGGAGGGAGAGAAGAGGGATGTGAGTGAGATCTTGCTACCTCAGCGGGCGGAGGATCTGATGACCCTCATGAGGCGGTCCATGTACCGCTCACCCAAGTGGTTGCCGGCGTTCCTCCTCCGAGACTTCGTCGAGGTTGGTAACCTTACTGGCTAAAACTTATTTTCTGCTGTAAATTTAATTGGTTTTTACGTGTTGCGCCGAATTTGAATAGTTGGGGAAGACGAGGTTCAGAGCATATCTCTCCGCCGTGCAGCTTTCCAGATAATTTGTATATTTATGTTTTTTATTTTTAATATAATTTAATTATTAAAGAAATATAATTAAATTACTATATAAGAAGTGTTTATTAAACATTTACGGGTATAATTATTATAAAAAAAATCTGTTTTGTTTGTTAATTTAATATTTGAATTATATGACAAGTGAAATTAAAAGCACGTGTCAAAATAAACCCCATCTTTATATAAAATATATTATTAAATTCTTATATAATTTTTCCTCCAATTGGCCATAAAGTTTAGTTAAAAAAAAAATAATAATCCAATTTCTGTTACTTTATTTAATATTAAAAGTACTATTTTCTTACCCTAAAAAAATCTTATGAGATGTTTTGATAGATTTTATTTAAAAAATAAATTCATAAATTAGTAATTTCACATATAGTATATTATATCGTAATTTAATTAATTTTTTTTAAATAATATTAGTTATATTTCTAAGATAAATATAATTAAATGAATTATTTATTCAATGGTTTAATTTTACTTTTTTTTAAATTTAATTATGCTATTTCTTAGTTTAGCTGTATTTTAGAATAACTCGTAATGCAAAAATTGTATTAGGCTCTTTTATAAAAATGTTTCTCCTTAAAAAACCTGAAAAAAAAATATTTAATTTTTTTATGACAGGCTTTTAAAAAAAAATTAACGTTTAATTAACCTATAAATGAATCGATTAATATCTAATCCACTTAAAATTCACTATCAATTCAATGAGTAATTTTTCTGATGTCTTCATCTGTGTTGACTTGAATTTTTTGATTATATGTAATTACATTTATCTGAAATGCTATAGAACAATAGAAATGAATCAAGCACATAAATAATTAGATTTTTAATGTATTTGTTTTTATCGTTACACAGTTATACATATTTTTTTAATCATTTTTCAAAGAGGTAAAAATTGTTTGTATTATTAAGTTAATTAAAACTGATTGAAAGTTCTACCTTTGCTTAGTTTTCATATTCAGACAAGCCTAAATTATAATTACTTAAACCCCTAAAAAATAAATAATAATTATCTGAATTTTTTTTTTGGTCATTAAAAAAATTAACTTTTCCACTGTTATTTTTTTTTTTTCGTGCCTGATGCATTCTCTTAATTTCTGATTTCTTATGAAATGAAATCATTAATCTGGAATTTTCTCGGGAGCCAGTTTTTGATATAAATGTAATCTGCAGTAATAAGGATTTTTATTGCATGCTATAAAATTTAAAGTTTTTAGGTCATGTTTATAAAGTATATAGACAAAAAGTTGCAATTCTTTTATTTTCTTTTTGGGAGATTTACATGCCTATCACATTATTGTTATGTATTTGCAACTCATAATATTTACATAACACTCACATCATTAACATTACATAAAAAAAATACTAATAACAACTTTATGAAGTAAAACTCATATATTAAGCACTGCTAAAACGTAATTTTTAAATGGTAAGACGGCGTTTCGCTGCGGATAAGCCGCCCCAAATGCACCCTTAGTCAGGCATCATTGAGGAGAAGTATGTGTGAGCAAACCTCTTTTATAGGTGGGTCAGCAAAAGGTCCTTCCAACAATCCACTGGCAATGAATCTGTAAGCCGCTTCAGTGAGGTGCACTCCATCCCATGAGATATATATTGATTAAGATTAATTATAATCAACGGTCCCCACCAACAAACAACAACAAAATCTTTATCCAACTGTGGTATATTTTCATTTAATTCTAATAAATCATGATCATTTTTTATACAATATGCCCAAGTCATATTAAATCTACGGCCCCCACCAAAAAATAAAAAAAGTTCATGAAATTGACGTAACATCTACTTTCTTTGTCCTCGTCATAAACCACTACACCAACTCACTATCCTATCTCTTGCTAGTTTACATAATTATGAGTTTAAATAATCTTCTTCAACGGGGATTTATCTCATCTAGACCCTCGATTTGACTGTAGGCACCTTAAATTTGAAGTCTATTTGACCCTCCAACTAACCGTTTAAAGTCTTCAAAATTTGGTTTGTTGTCTTGAACAGGGTTTGATTCGGCACGAGTTGGATCAATTTTGATATCATTAGGTTCATCTTATCGAGTTAGTCTGATTGACTATAAGTTCACTGAAATCGGAGTTCTGGGCAATTTTTAATTTGATTCGGGTGTTCCTTACGCAAAAAATGGCTCAAGAAATATGCCACATGCATCGTGATTCATGCCATACGATAAATTGTCAAATTCCACACAAAACCTTTTAAAAATTTTCACTTTACATCCATGTTGGTTCTAATAACTAGCTTGTATTCTTCTTAATTTGCACACTTTTATGATTTGGCAGAAACATACAATTTACTAGAGTTTTGATGTTTTAACGTGGCTGTCTCAAACTACTGCACCGTGTTTTGGGAGCACCAGCCGAGGCAATTTTGTGAATTCATGAATTCAAACAATATGCCTGATTTGTGAATTTATAGATTGTAATGATACGATCTCACGTTTGTTTGTCGCATTGGTGCAGGTGATGTACAAGGATCACAGGAAAGAGAGGGTTGAGTTGCTTACAGAACTCTTATCGACCGGAGTTGATCTGCACCCACTTCCTGTTCTTAAAAAGGTCAGTCAACTTTTTTCGCTTAACGTAAGTGAAGAATTAAAGCTTTATGTTTTGCGAAGTATGGCTTACTTTCTAATTGAAATGAAAAATGGAAGGAGATCAGATAAGGCTCTTAGATTTAATGTAGTCGTTTTTATTAAATATTAGTGTAGGTGTTAGATATGTTATGTTTGTAAATTCACCTCCTTGCCCTTTTTCTATCTTTACATTTTAGCATGGAAGAGGCTGGGGCAATTTTGGAGCGTGTCATGGATGAAGATGGCTTCTATGGGATGATGTAATATCTCCTTAGCCATGAACAAACAGACGTTAAAAAAAAATAAAAATTTCATACGTTAAAAAAAATAAAAATTTAAGAAAAATTGGAAACATACATAAACGGTGTTTGCTTATATGTTTTTATTTTATTTCTATTTTTTAAATTTTTTTGGATATCACTTTTAATTTTAAAATACCAAAAACAGAAAACTCTTTTCAAAACACCAACACAAACCTTCCGCCTGGCCCGCCTCCGCGGCCTGCCTTCGCCCTTTGGCTGGCGCCCAAAGCCCG